CTTTCATAAATATGTCAATATATTCCTTTCAATTCTACCACCTTCAATTTGTGCCATGCTCACACTATGTGTCTCCTCGATTATGTATGTGTCTCACTATTTAGGTATCTGCATTTATCATATGCATACAAATCATGTTCATTACACACATCATTAATTTTGCATACTTATTCACACATAGATACTTACACTCGCATGCATAATTATCATCTGCCCCTTTAAAGGGAGAGCACATTTAGAGCAAATTCATGCTAAATCATGTTGTCTGTCCCTCTAATTAGATATCATTGGGTAGGGCTTATTGCAACACACTATGATGCTATTGGCTGATTGCTGTAATTGGCACTTATGCAGAAGGGTCTACCTACATGCATGGGCGTCTGCAGGGGATTTTTCCATGGGGGGAGGGGGGAAGGGGAGGCATAATTGTAATGACATCCATGCTTGGCAATGTCATGAAGAGGAGAGGCATAGTCATTATCACATAAAGCCAGGGTGAATAGCGTTTTCACAACTATGGTGTCAGGAATAGCTGTTTGTATCCCTGACACTATAGTGTTCATTTAATCAAATTAAAGGAACATTCTTGTAACAACTTTATCTAAATGAAAATGCTATGATGCAAGGAGGCCCCTGGGTGCTCTCTTTCCTTTAAGAGGTTTAACCGCTCCCAAATGGTATAACCCCAAAGGCTTCCTCCAGCTCCAGATCTCCAGGTCGCTCAGTGGTATTCGGCTTCTGAAATGGAGTGTCAGGAAGTGCAGTCTGACGTAAGGCCTGGGTGCCGCTGATTGGCTAGAGTGGTCAGCTGACGCTCCAAGCCAAACGCTAGTTTCCCGTTTATAAAAATGTTTTACTTTTTTATGAATGGGGAGCTACTGATTGGCTTAGAGTGCCAGCTGACCGCTCTAGCCATTCAGCGGGACCCCTACCCTGCGGCACTCTATGCTTCCTGATGAGAGGGAGATGAGAAGGTGCAACGTTTCTATGCCTGGCCCAGGTACCAAAGCCTTATGATGTGGTGTCCAAAATTAAGTGGAGGAATCACTTCACTTGTCCTTCCTGCTCCAATCTCATTTTCTTCTCCTTCATTTGACACAGTCTTCTTTTTCTTCTGACACGGTCTTCTCTCCTTGGCTCCTTCTGCTCCTTTACCTTTCTGCTTCTTTTGCTCATTTCTCTTTCTGATCCATTTCTTCTCCTTGCAAACCCTTTCTGCTCCTTATCCTACTTTGCCTTTGTGATCCCTCTGCCCCTTCCAGCTCCTTGATGCCCCTTCCAGCTAATTTCTGCTCCTTCTCCTACTTTACCTTTGCACTCCTGATTCTTTCTGCTCCTTTACCTTTGTGCTCCTTCTGTCCCTTCCTGCCCCTTGCTGACTCTTTCTGCTCCTTGCACACCCTTCCTTCTCTTTGCTGACCCTTCCTGATCCTTGCTGACCCTTCCTGATCCTTGCTGACCCTTGCTGCCCCTTTCTGATCCTTCTCCTACTTTACCTTCCTGTTCCTTTCTGACCCTTCCTGTAGGCTGCCCCCAATCCCTCACTTACCTGATCTGTAGGCTCTCTCTGCAGTCTGGGAGTTGATGGCTGCACTCTGTGCTGCTCCCCCGCGGACCCAGTCAGGAGAGAGAAGCAGGGGTAAAATGCAGCTTCCTATCCCTGCCTCTCTCCACACACACCTACTGGCCGGCACCGGTATTGTAGTGTATTCTAAATCTAAAAAGAAAAATACAGGCACAAGCTAAAAGATCCTCCCCTGCAGCATGTGAGCATGAAGGTTGAAAAACCCTAAATCTCATTTATGAACCAATACAAGTAAGGGTATATTATGATGTGTCCAGCTGGCTACGTGACATGAAGATATAGGGATATGAAGTTATATTGGGGATTATTTTAGACAATTAGCATTTAAAGACAGAGCACAAGTAAAAAGAATGATAGTGTAGTGAGGAAGCTCACATTAAATTAAACTAAAGGAGTATGGGTAAACAGGAAAGTGTGGCAAAGTTGAAATTAAAGATAGACTTGGTAGAGAAAGGTCATGAAAAGGTGGGATTAAAAAAAGAGGCAATGATGACACTAATATTTTGGGGGGAAAGCACAAATGAATGCATGTAGTACCCCAGAGTTGGAGGCAAATCATTGTCAGTTGAGCAGGCCAGTTAGTTTAATATAAAGAGAGTACATGGGGATGGCTTAATACAGATATTGGGCTTCAAACCTAAAGCAACATGTTATTTGCTGTTGTGGTGGGCCAGGGACTGGAAGGCCACTGAGTAGGAGGAGCCTTGAAACAACAGCAGGATGGATGATATTTTGTTAGTCATGTCTCCTAAAGAATGAAGTAGCGCTTGAATAGCCAATTCCAGCATAAAGGAGAATAAGTGTGTTTATAGTGTAGTGAGATCAGTAGTGAATCTAGCCTTTGGGAGGCTTTAAAAGAAATTCAAACATGAAGCCCCCACTATCACCAATAGTGAAAAATCGGGGTGTCGTTGTGTGTGTATAAGGAGTCGTAGTCATAATGAAGGGCAGACTTTCAGCACTGGATAGAGAGGTAGTCTCTTTATTCATCGTTAGTGGCTTGCAGTGTCGCAGCTCCCTGTGCCACGGCGTTGTGAGCTCTCTGATTGCATAATTTGCAAACTAAAGTAATTTACAATAAACATATTTTACTTGCAATTATGATAATCATGTATATATGTATTGGGGGGTGTGGTTGCAACGCCTAGCAGTCATGTATGCATAACTGCAGATGTGAAGGAGTTATTGTAAACTACAATGAAAATTTTGGTTGAGCAAAAAAATGATTTTCCAAATAATAAATTTACAGAAGAAACAATTTCCCCACATTTTCGATAATTCTTTCACATATATATTATCCTATGTTATTTATATGTGTTGCCCCATGTATTGTATATGTATATATTATATACAGTGAGAGATTTGATCCCCTGCTGATTTTGAAAAAAATCCAAAAAACGCATGTCAAAAAAGTTATGAATTGATTTGCATGTCAATGAGTGAAATAAGTATTTGATCCCCTATCAATTAGCAAGATGTCGGGCTCCCAGGTGTCTCTTAAAGGGAGTGTCCCTAATCTCAGCTCGTTACCTGTATAAAAGACACCTTTCCACACAAGCAATCAATCAGATTCCAAACTTTCCACCATGGCCAAGACCAAAGAACTGTCCAAGGATGTCAATGACAAGTTTGTAGACCTACACAAGGCTGGAATGGGCTACAAGACCATCGCCAAGCTACTTGGTGAGAAGGTGACAACAGTTGGTGCGATTATTCTCAAATGGAAGAAACACAAAATAACTGTCAGTCTCCCTTGGTCTTGTGCTCCAGGCAAGATCTCACCTTGTGGAGTTTCAATGATCATGAGAACAGTAAGGAATCAACCCAGAACTACACAGGGGGATCTTGTTTAAGATCTCAAGGCAGCTGGGACCATAGTCACCAAGAAAACAATTAGTAACACACTACGCCGTGAAGGACTGAAATCCTGCAATGCCTGCAAGGTCCCGCTGCTCAAGAAAGCACACGTACAGGCCTGTCTGAAGTTTGCCAGTTAATATCTGAATGATTCAGAGGAGAACTGGGTGTTAGTGTTGTGGTCAGATGAAACCAAAATCGAGCTCTTTGACATCAACTCAACTTGCCGTGTTTGGAGGAGGAGGAATGCTGCCTATGACCCCAAGAACATCATCCCCACCGTCAAACATGGAGGTCGAAACATTATGCTTTGGGGGTGTTTTTCTGCTAACGGGACAGGACAATCTTGGGTGAGAACCTCCTTCCCTCAGCCGGGGCATTGAAAATGGGTTGTGGATGGGTGTTCCAGCATGACAATTACTCAAAACACACGGCCAAGGCAACAAAGGAGTAGCTCAAGAAGAAGCACATTAAGGTACTGGAGTGGCCTAGCCAGTCTCCAGATCTTATTTCCATTAAAAATCTGAGGAGGGAGCTGAAGGTTCGATTTGCCAAACGTCAGTCTCGAAACTTGACTTGGAGGGGATCTGCAAAGAGGAGAGGGACAAAATCCCTCCTGAGATGTGTGCAAACCTGGTGATGAGAATGATCACATGGCCGCAATAGGAGTCTATGGAGCTGCCAACAGGGGGACTCTCTGAGATGTCAAGCAGTACCCCAGGCTGCTAAAAAGTAAAAAAAAATAAAAAATTATTATACATATATTTTATATGTATATTACATTATAAAATAATTAAAGCATTTTATAATGTATATATATGATTTCATCATAAGTGTATTTTGAGATATATACACATATGCATTATAGATGTATAATATATTATAAAATGCTTTAATTATAATATATTATACATATATTGTAAATAAGTGTGTGTGTATGTATATATATTTGTGGTCGGGGCCATTTCAGTATAGTAGGAAATAGCTAGTGAGTATACTTATCACAATAATCAAAAGTCGGAGGAGGCAGGGCCGGATTAACATAGGGGCTGATGGAGCTGCAGCTCCAGGCCCAGGCCCAGGCCCATGGAATAGGCCCATTTAAAAAAAAAAATATATATATATATATTTTTTTTTTTACACACTACTCTTAGGTTGACCACTTAACTGGTATTTTAATGGCACAGCTGGTATATGAGGCTGCCTGGCCAGTGCTAGTATTGCAGTAATACCGGCAATACAAATGCAGGTATTTTTCTCAGTATAAACGGAAATTACTCTGCAATACCAGCACCGGCCAGTAGGCCGTTTGTGGGGACAGGCAGGGATAGGAAGTTACAGCATATCCCTGCCTCTCTCTACTACTCACTGATCCATGGGGGAGCAGCTACACAGCACAGAGAGTCCAGACAGAAGCTCTACAGCTCAGGTAAGTGAGGGATGGGGGGAAAGGCAGCAGGGAGACATGGGGACACAGACACTAGGAGACACTGAGAAACTAGGGGACCCATAGGGACACAGACACTAGGGGATACTGTGAGACCTGGGGACACTGAGACACTAGGGGGCACAGGGAGAAATGGGGACACTGAGAGACATAGGGACATTGGGAGACACTGAGATACTAGGGACCCAGTGTCCCCATGTCTCCCAATGTCCCCTAGTCACTCAGTGTCTCTATGTCTCCCAGTGTCCCCAAGTGTCTCAGTGCCCCATGTCTGCCAGTGTCCCCAAGTGTCTCAGTGTCCCTGGGTCTCTCAGTGACTTGGGGACACAGTGAGACATGGGGACACTGACAGAAATGGGAACACTGAGACACAGAGACTAGGGGACTGGGCGACATAGGGACACTGACACTGTGATACATAGGGACACTGAGAGACTAGGTGACTTGCGAGACTGAGACACTGGGAGACACTGGGAGCAATCCATCTATACAGCAGAATCCAACTGTGAGTAGTTTGTTGTTGATTTCACAGAATTTTCCCTTATGTCACTCCTTGTGATTTATATCATGTGATGTCATGCATAACTAATTAATTATACAAATGTAGAAGGCTGGTATTTTTTTCCAAGAAAGGTGGCAACCCTAACTACTCTTCATCTACTCTTGCTTAAAGGAACACTATAGGGTCAGGAATACAACCATGTATTTCTGACCTTATTATGTTAAAACCACCATTTAGCCCCCCTGGCCCCCTCTTGCCTCCCTAAATATAGTAAACTCTTACTTGTATTCAATTCTGCAGCTGCTGGCTCTGTCCCTGCCTGCCTTTGAACTGACTGTCTGCTGACATCATCAGAAGTGGTGGTCTGAGCAAATTACAATGCTTCCCCATAGGATTGGCTGAGACTGTCAACTAGGCAGATCAGGGGCAGAGCCAGCACAAGTCAAACATAGCCCTGGCCAATCAGCATCTCCTCATAAAGATAAATTGATTCAATGCATCTCTATGAGGAAAGTTTAGTGTCTGCATGCAGAGGGTGGAGACACGGAATGGCTGTGCTCCTCACTAGGTAGTACTGCCCCAGGAGGCACCTCTAGCAGCCATCTAAGGAGTGGCCATCAGAGTGATTTTCTCTGAAAAGACAGTGTTTACTGCAAAAAGCCTGGAACTTACTAGAACAAATACAATAAGCTGTAGTTGTTCTGGTGACCATAGTGTCCCGTTAAGTTTGGAAGCTTAAGAGGGATGCATGGGAACAAAACCTGTGTGGACTGGCTGACAATAACATTAGTTTAGATAATGCAGACTTTGGTCTCTCTTTTCTTCTACACTCACTACATTCACATTTTCTCTGTCCCAGACTATATACCAGGAACTTCTGCCTGCTAGTAAGATGATAAGGAAACAAGTGGACATGTGAGTGCTAGGGGACAGTCCTTAGAAAGCGTGGAGTAGGCGCATCATTTGATGCATTTATGTCAAGTTCAGGGTGCTGTCTGCATAGTATGCCCTTAGTTGGACAGCCTGCATTCATGCCAGGCTGGCCTTCCAATTCTTTGGACAAACATGCCCCCTTTTTGGGCATGTTCACACCTTTTGGCAGGTCTGGTCACGTGATTTGCGCCAGTGGCACACTCTTTTACACTGCACATTGACTTCCTGCTTCACTGGACACTGCTGTTATGGGGCATGGATTTAATTGAAAGATGAAAGCATGAATTATAGAGAGATTAGCATAGAGTATGTGTTTTCGTATAGCTGCATCCTTTGAGTTTCCCTCCAACACCATCTAAATCAGATAGATGACGCTTGGGAGGTATGGTTGTTTTAGTGTTTTTGGTCGATAAGATTCTGTAATTAGGCTCATCATAATTGTCAGCACCAGGCCCAATGGGCTCTTAATCCGGCCCTGGGTAGAGGTGTGCCGAAACTGACGTGTGTGGTAGGCCTGTAAATAAGTGGGCCTACCTTAAATAGTATTGAATAGAGTATTGCATAGAGGGAGAGAAGGGTGGGCCAGAAGTACGTCTGGACCAGTAGGTAAGTTAGGTAGGAGGGGGAGTCCCTTTAAAGGGACATAGCCCCTCCCACAACTTCAGGCCCCACCTTCCAATTTGTGGTCAGGGCCATTTTAGTATAGTAGGAAATAGCTAATGAGTATACTTATCACCATAATCAAAAGTCAGTAGAGGTGTCCCGAAACCGACGTGTGTGGTAGGCCTCTTAATAAGTGGGCAAAAAGGAATACCCATATAGTGTAATCAAAGATGTTTATTACGAAAACACAAGACATGGAGTCAGCGTATTACGGTGACATTACACAAATGCCTTCCTGAATTCCTGTATCAGGTGAGGTATGCGTTGTTGGTGGGTTTGTACTGAATAAGTACCTTGTGACCCCTCTGGCTGATCTTAGTTGATGGTAAGTTAATACGTAGTGATCCTGTATGTGTACAGGTTTAGAATACCGTAGGCAAAGCTTGGAATCAGGTTGCCCTATGATGGTAAATTCTCTGGTCGTGGGAAACCATGAAAGCCAAGTATATGGTGGTTTGAGCATGGTGTTTGTAACTGAAAACATGTGGTGTTGAATGCCCGGGAGATATAACTTAATGGTGTTGTGTGACATTTGTTTTGATGTGGCAAAAAATGGCGAAAGCCCCCCAATGTTTTATTCTTGTACCAGTTTGTAAGGTGGTGGTCTGACATGACCTTTGAAATATGCAGTAAGCCCTGTCATGCAGTGTGCATATTCTTTGAGGGCCAACTGTGTGAATTCCTGCTGTGATTTAGCCACTCTACTATTCCATAGGTAATTCTTGGAGTTGGGGAGCGATCGTGGCCATAGGTGAGGCAGTTGTTAGGGGCCTCCTGAACGCCTGAAACTAAAGACTAGATAACTGGTCAGGAGCTGTAAGTGCCTGGTACATGGTAACATGCCAGATAAAAATTGGTGACAGGCTTCCCCTCCGTTAGTCATCTGATGAATTCATAATAAGGGATACCAGACCGGACTGGTTTATGACGTGGCCAAATGACAAATTGTCAGAGACCTCGAACCGGTCTGCTTGCCCATGAATGACCCCATGTTGCTGCTGCGGCTATGATGGAAGCGTGCAGAGTTCTTATGGAACCTTTTGATCTGGCTTACTTCGTCTGCCACCTACTTCATAGCCAACTGTCCCCTGAGGTTGCAGCAAGCTCGGTGTAAGCCGTTGCATCGGGGCGACTACATATGTAGATGAACCTAGTTAAAGACATATATATGTATAGGGATGAGACACCTAAATATATTGAGCCTAGGTGAGTTCCCGCTGGGCGTCTTTCTGCTAGAATAACCTAAAAAGTGTTTGAAGTATGTGGGACATTCCTAGTTTACCAGCAGGAACTACAGGGAGTGCAGAATTATTAGGCAAATGAGTATTTTGACCACATCATCCTCTTTATGCATGTTGTCTTACTCCAAGCTGTATAGGCTCGAAAGCCTACTACCAATTAAGCATATTAGGTGATGTGCATCTCTGTAATGAGAAGGGGTGTGGTCTAATGACATCAACACCCTATATCAGGTGTGCATAATTATTAGGCAACTTCCTTTCCTTTGGCAAAATGGGTCAAAAGAAGGACTTGACAGGCTCAGAAAAGTCAAAAATAGTGAGATATCTTGCAGAGGGATGCAGCACTCTTAAAATTGCAAAGCTTCTGAAGCGTGATCATCGAACAATCAAGCGTTTCATTCAAAATAGTCAACAGGGTCGCAAGAAGCGTGTGGAAAAACCAAGGCGCAAAATAACTGCCCATGAACTGAGAAAAGTCAAGCGTGCAGCTGCCACGATGCCACTTGCCACCAGTTTGGCCATATTTCAGAGCTGCAACATCACTGGAGTGCCCAAAAGCACAAGGTGTGCAATACTCAGAGACATGGCCAAGGTAAGAAAGGCTGAAAGACGACCACCACTGAACAAGACACACAAGCTGAAACGTCAAGACTGGGCCAAGAAATATCTCAAGACTGATTTTTCTAAGGTTTTATGGACTGATGAAATGAGAGTGAGTCTTGATGGGCCAGATGGATGGGCCCGTGGCTGGATTGGTAAAGGGCAGAGAGCTCCAGTCCGACTCAGACGCCAGCAAGGTGGAGGTGGAGTACTGGTTTGGGCTGGTATCATCAAAGATGAGCTTGTGGGGCCTTTTCGGGTTGAGGATGGAGTCAAGCTCAACTCCCAGTCCTACTGCCAGTTCCTGGAAGACACCTTCTTCAAGCAGTGGTACAGGAAGAAGTCTGCATCCTTCAAGAAAAACATGATTTTCATGCAGGACAATGCTCCATCACACGCGTCCAAGTACTCCACAGCGTGGCTGGCAAGAAAGGGTATAAAAGAAGAAAATCTAATGACATGGCCTCCTTGTTCACCTGATCTGAACCCCATTGAGAACCTGTGGTCCATCATCAAATGTGAGATTTACAAGGAGGGAAAACAGTACACCTCTCTGAACAGTGTCTGGGAGGCTGTGGTTGCTGCTGCACGCAATGTTGATGGTGAACAGATCAAAACACTGACATAATCCATGGATGGCAGGCTTTTGAGTGTCCTTGCAAAGAAAGGTGGCTATATTGGTCACTGATTTGTTTTTGTTTTGTTTTTGAATGTCAGAAATGTATATTTGTGAATGTTGAGATGTTATATTGGTTTCACTGGTAATAATAAATAATTGAAATGGGTATATATTTGTTTTTTGTTAAGTTGCCTAATAATTATGCACAGTAATAGTCACCTGCACACACAGATATCCCCCTAACATAGCTATAACTAAAAACAAACTAAAAACTACTTCCAAAAATATTCAGCTTTGATATTAATGAGTTTTTTGGGTTCATTGAGAACATGGTTGTTGTTCAATAATAAAATGAATCCTCAAAAATACAACTTGCCTAATAATTTTGCACTCCCTGTAATATTGGAGATCGCGTAAGTGTTTGTGACTGGAGTTGTCAATGCCGAGAAAGGGCCGTATAGGGAGGATTTGAGCTGTCTAACATGACCTTGGTCGTATGTAACTGCCCAACTGTGGGGACGAATTGAGTCGTAGTGGATCGCCGGCAGTGGGTCGTCTGGAATGTGAGAGTGATGGCCTATTGAGGGCCACATGTAGAGGCATGCTGTGGTAGGTTGTGACAAAGTGCAAACTTCTGTCAAATTGTAATTCCTACGCTGTATGTAATAGCCCATACGGGGGGCCGACATTATGCTAAA